ATATCAATTTGTTCAGCCTTTCTAAAGTGCCCTTCCTGTCGTAATTGTTGAGCGAGTGGTCAGTAAATATCTCTCGTGTCTTCTTCTGCCAGATGTGTAGCGGCAACACGTAGACCTTCCGACACTTTGCCCGCGGCGTTGTACGCTCCTACACATTGTAACTCATTGATATGAGAACTCGTTCCGCTGTATCTCATTCCTGTAAATGTTTGCAAAAAAGATATTAAAGATATTAATTGACATATGAAACCTACTAGAATAGAATAAAAATCGACCCAAACTTTGAATTCTAAAAATTTAATAAATTGATCGTGACGTTAAATCCGTGTGTAAAAGAAGAAATGAATAATTGAAAACATATTCGTTTACACCCTCATTGGATGTTTACATTTATTTTTGTAACTATACACAATAACTAATACGGAATGAACAAACTCGAATAACGTTAATAACAATTATAAAAAAAATAATAACAACATATTTCTTTTGTTCATTATTTAAAATAACTTACTTGAGATATAAAATGATCCCCCAACTGTTCACATTGCTCCCGAATAGATTCTTTATCTTCTATAACATAAAGATATCAATGGATTGATTTACAATATATATCAAAACAAGACCTATAGCAATATCTTATATCTTTAAATGAGCAATTCTTGTATCTATATTTATATATTATGGGAATCTCGGTATCGGCTCAAACGATGGCGATAAATCGATCTAGCTAGGAATCATTATCATCATTAATCATTTATAAAATGTTATTTTACGTAAAAAAGAATAACAAAAATTAGTCGTTTAAAATATGACGCTCCCTGACATCTAGTGGCGAATAGTAATACTACTTTTTGCTACTTGCTTTTATTAATTGCTTTAACGACACAACAGCAGATGGCGTTGTTGAGTACCAGAAAGTCAACGAATGTTTGTTTTTAGGTTAGATTAAGAAATTAATTGTTGATTTATATTGTTTTCTGTCATCTTAACGTGTTGAATAAAAAATGCCTAAACGAAATTAATAACAAAAAACCAAAATATATACTAATAATTCCTTAATACCCAGCAATGCTCGCTAACCAGTTATTATTAATAATAGCTGTACAATTTGAAGAGCTTTTTTATAATGATGTGCCTTCAGAGCCGCAGTGAGAGCATCAACGGTTCGAGCAGCCTCTATGAGATGAGGTACAGCGGCGCCCGCCTGTCGCGATGATACAAGCCACGCGCCCCACTCCCCTTCCAACCTGGTCACTTCACCGGGACAGGCCTGAAGAACAAAAAATGATATAATAAAAATTAAAAACAAAAGTTTCAAATAGATAGTAAATTCTCTTGCTAGTTGAACGGCTCTTGCGACTACGCAGCTATGTTGCCTCTAGAATAGTAATCAACAGCAGTTCTGATATCACCTTTACACTCGGATATTTCACCAGCCATTTCCCACCATTCCTCCTACAAAGGAAACAAATTGTAAAGTTCATAATCTATGTCTCTAATTAGTGAATCTTAACTTTTTAAAATGTATAGTAATATGCAGGAGTTACAGTATAAGAATAAATATTTATGTTTGAGACAGTTATATTCAAAAAATATACTTCTACTATTTTTTTTAGTTAAATGCATAAACCTTGTCTTTAACTTGTATAATTCACATTTACATTACCTCTTCAATAGTATAATCAATAATACTAAATGAAAAACAAACGCTAATTGGTCATTTACCTGTATTAAGACCAACAACGAATTGAGCAGGATCTTTTCATTACTACAACAAGACTATCCTTAGTGAGACCAACAAGCGATATTTTAATAAATAGGTCCATACTTCGGTAGCATTTTTATTTAGCAATCTGATAATGGACCCATTTCCTTCCCTATTTTTTTGTGTATCTGATAATGTATCCTTCACCTGTCCTAGTTGATCGTGCACAGCCTGCAGGAGCTCATCATCTTTCATGAGTGTGGGGTGATGTAACAGACGCGACACGCCTCACACGTCACCACTTGACCCTAAACCACCCCCCCCCCCCTCGCCGAGACGACCTGTACCAACAAAATAATAATTTACTAGGGCAAATAGATTATAAGTGTTATTCTAACGAAGATTATATATAAGATTTTATTAATATTTTTTTGCAGCGCGTAAAAATTATATCAATCTTAAATTATATTCTAACAGTTATAATTTTTGCACCTGTTGATGTGAGATAGTCCATGTATTGCTGCCTGAGTGATGTCACCGCTTGTCTATCGACTTGTTCAGCGAGGGCGATGGCATCTGCCCATCTATAGAACTGCTTATACATATTAATGGCCAATTCTGGCTGAGCGGCTCCACGTAGCATTCTTCGGCGGTGGTTAAGTCCCCCACAAATATTGCTAGACGTGCACGAACCTCGGGACTCTTTAAACCTATGCATTATATTATAATCACGATTAATAAAATAAATACTATTAATACAATAAGTGCGTACTTAAAGAAACATATATGAGGTGTTCCCGAAACGTTTAAATGCAAAAAATACCTTCATCAATATTCCCGTCTCCTTTGGTTGAAGCCAACTCGAAAGTTTTCTCTAGATAAAATGTTCTAGCTTCATCACCCACTGCTTTATAGCATTTCGTCGCCAACTGAAAAAAATATATCTGTTATGAGATACTAAAACGTTTAAATGTTATAATATATATATATATATATATATTAGTCTTTCTCTAATTTGAGCAGTGAGGAATATACCACCACAACTGAATGGCTAACAATTAACCAAACATAACTGTTTTTCGGTATCAGGGTTATCCAATCTAATTGAACCTAACGTTAATGTAATTAAAACAATAATAAATTTAAGTAGTTATTCTAAAACCATTGGACAATCTTTATTTCTATCATATATACATGGTCGCTCATAGGTAATGTCGATTCATGTGTAAAAATTTCAACGCATCCATTTAAATATGTTGGAACTTCTTAAATTTATCTCTAGCTCTACAAACAGTACAGTAATTTTACTTTCTTTGAATAATTTTCTGTTTGTTTCTTGATGAACGACTACGTTTTGATTAAATAGTGGACAGGTGATGCAAATGTATGAGGTTTTGTTGAAGAAATATCCATGTCACCGGAACCGGTTTTTTTTTCAAGACAATTCTAAACCATAAGTGTCGTAAGTAACGCGGAATACGATCAAAGAACTTGATGATATTAAACACCTAACACATCCGAAATTTAGTCCAGACTTTACACTTGAGATCTATGGCGAAATTCTTTTGTACAAAATAATTTGAATCCAACAAATGTTATTAAAGCAGTGCGACATTTTTTGCATTTAAGGTCAAAAAAAACTGTTTAACCTAAGAGCTTACTGCTCTTTGGGATAAAAACCATTAAATACGAGGAGCTATACATCTCATAGTTAGTCTATTTTATTACATTATATATTAAAAAGTGAACACTGAAAATCGACATTATTTATGAGCCATCCACTGTACTTATATCCTCTGTACTTGAATACAAATTCACATAAAGCAAATATCGTGAAAAACTTACTAAAAATTAGTAGAATGTTTTCAATGCGTTTGGTAACGAAGCCTTAACAAACTTCTGTTTATATTTAATCTAACTTTAATGCCATACATATTAACCTCAACATCGTATCCTGTTAGCGCCTGTTCAGCCAGTTGACACCACAACGACCCGACGTCCGCAGACCTCGACACAGCGTCCAAGTATTGAGCACAATCCTTTAAGTCCCCGCTACGTAACGCCGAATCTATTCAAAATAAATAGTAATTTTCATTTAATATTCCATATAAATTAACAATATAGCGATTGATGAAAATAAATTCAAATAGCGCTTAGAACATTAAATCAATCCTGTTATAATAAAATCGTTCATTTGTTGTCTTATACCAAAAAAAAAAAAAAAATGGCTTAAAAGTACTCTGTATTATTCTATAAGTTAATCTGTCCAAAAAGTTACTTCAGCAACATACTGAATCTTGTTGTGTGGATAGTGTGCACCGGATTAACATTACCCTACCATAACCTTTAAATTTAAACGTCGTCTATATAAAAATTATATAGTAATCACTTCAAACAATAAAAAATAAATGAAAAGAAGGTTTTCGGATATTTTTAAATAAACGACATACTGCCTACGTTTCGGTTACTTTACAGCGACCATGATCACGGGCAGACTAGATGTGTTTCATTTAAATGAATACTCGAGGAAGTCTTAGATCTCATTAATCCTACTAATATTATAATTGCGAAAGTTTGTGAGTGTTGTGTATGTTTGTTACTTCTTCACGCTCAAACGGTTGAACCGATTTTGATAAAATTTTGTATACAGGAAGCTGACGTCCAGGAATAACACATAGGCTACTTTACATCCCGGAAATCCCAAAAATCCCGGAAGTCCGCGGGTAAAACCGCGGGGCGCAGCTAGTATAAAAATAATGTCAATACTGTAAAGGGTTCATACTGAAAGCCAGTCGATGTTCATCCAATACAATGGCCTGGATCTGACCTCCTTCCAGTAGGACTCGTCGCTCTGATACTGATACAGCCGAGACTGATACACACTCAGACATGACAACACACTGAGGCTCCCATACACTGTACCTATAACACATACAAACACATATATATATATGTAGGAACAACCTTATGATCCATGTATATCTTACTGTATGTAACATAAAGACATAATGAGTAAAAACTAGGATTCATTTACAGGAATATTTTGATATGTTCTCTCCCAAAACAAGAAATCAATATGGATCATTTAACCCATTGCCAACGATACACTATTTTTAAGTTAGAAGATTTACTATATATATTCAAATAAATTTTGAACACATAATGAACGTGCTTCGGGAAAGCAATTTTTGTCCTCATTCCCAAAAAAGATCGAGTTACTGATCCGAAAGATACTAGACCGATAGCTTTAACAAATACTATATCGAAAATCTTTTTCTCGGTTCTACAAACGAGAATGACGCGATTCATGCTCAGCAACAACTATTTTAGGCCAAATCACCAGAAAGGGTTTTTACCCGGGATTTCTGGATGCTTAGAACACAACACCTTGCTGTCGGAGAGTTTAAAAGATGCTAGAAAAAGCGAGCGGCAAATCACTGTTTGTTGGATAGACTTGGAGAACGCGTTCGGGTCGATACAACACGAATTGATGCTATTCGCGCTTAGATGGTACAACTTTCCACCCCTAGTTAGAGATATGATCGCGTCGTATTACTCAAAATTAAGGTTTTCTATAATAACTAAAGAAGGCCCTTCAAAAAGTTTGAGTTATAATGTAGGACTGTTTCAAGGTTGTTGTCTATCTCCAATTGCGTTTAATATCGTAATTAACATCTTAGTAGACAAATTAATCTGTAACGAGAAAAAATGGGGTTATCGGTTTAAGTTTAATAATAAATACACGGAATCCATTTTAGCCTTCGCTGACGATCTCGCAATACTGACACGTAACCCCAAACACTGTCAAGTACTATTGGATGAAGTGGATAAATTCTGTGAGTGGACGGATGGATTGAGGACAAAACCCAGTAAATGTCACTGTCTGTGTCTTGGTAGGCGGAATACAAGATACACCTCATACGATCCGGGACTATCGTTAGGCGGTCAATGCATTTCTACGGTTACGGAAAATGCACCATTTAAATTTCTCGGTCGTAAGATAGATAATATAGGCCGTACTCCATCTTTAGAAGGAATAGTAGATAGCTTTTTGAACGATCTTAACAAGGTAGATAGCCAACTGATAAGTAACGTCAAAAAAGCGTGGATCTACGAGAATTACTTAACTTCACGTTTGAATTGGCCTTTCCTCGTCTATGATTTTAATAAAACCCTTTTGTCAAAGTTAGATGCAGGCGTCATAAAGATGTTGAAGCAGTGGCTCGGGCTCGCTCTAACGGCTGATTCATCGGCGTTATTTAGGGGAAGCAATAGTTTTGGGATGAGTCTAAAAAGGCCATCGGAGCTCTATAAACACCTAAGAGTTTCCAAGAGATATATCCTGGGGAAATCCCATGATGACATAGTGACATCGCTCCCAAAAGATGAAGATGACCCCGAGCTAGAGTCACGACTTCAATTCCATAAGCAATTTATGATAGGAGCGCAAAGTAACAGAGCGGGGTTAGGATCAAATAGGAAAGTCCAAGATGCGGATATATTGAAGTCTTTTATTCGGCAAGACGAGAATGATAAATATAAGATCCATGCAATGAATTTAGAAATGCAGAACGAGTGGTTAGACATAGGAGATTTTTGCATCCCATTAGCATTAAAATGGCGCACTTTAATTTATGATTGGTCGCCAGCATTGCTAAAATTCTATCTCAATGCGTTCCAGATGACTCTCCCAGATCAGAGTAATTTAGTAAGATGGGGTAAAAGTACCGAAAAAACTTGCTATATCTGTGGAAAGGCAGTTGGAACTGCTAAGCATCTGCTGGTGGGATGTAAGGTACTCCTTGACAGCGGTCAATACTCGCGTCGTCACGATAGGGTTCTAGAAGTCATACGTGAAGCGGTTAGTCTTTCGGTAGCCAGAGCGCAAAAGGGAATAACCACAAACGAACGATCAGTAGGTTTTGTGAGAGAAGGCACTAGGGCTACAAAATCAAACGTCAAGCCTTACTCCATCCTTAAAGCGGCGTCGGATTGGACTATAATGATGGACACGTATGAAAAACAATATAAAATCCCCGAGGATATTTGTGCGTCGGCCTCCAGACCGGATATATTTTTGTTTTCGCGAATTTTAAAGCGCGTAGTGATAATAGAGCTTACGGTCCCCTGGGAAACCAACATCCCCAAAGACCATACCATCAAGGTCAACAAATATTACGAGCTCACAAACGAACTCACTCGAAACAGGTTCGTAGTAGATTTGTACGCGGTAGAGGTGGGAGCGAGAGGTATAACAGCGAAATCTCTCTATAACCTACTAAAGGACTTGGGCTTGTCCAGAACTCACATTAATGCATTCTTGGAACGTACGTCGAAGGCAGCCCTAGTAGGTTCTTTTCAAATTTGGTTAGGTAGGGAGAGGAGCTTGGACAGTGGAGGTGAGCGTATAACGCGCGTTAGTTAAGGGGCCCCTTAAACCTACACTTGGGTCGCAAGTCCCAGGCACTGTTGAAGCTCCTCCCCCTGCAACGCGATGGACCCGGCACCCGCACGGTGAATCCATGGAATGCTGAGAAGTTTCGTCTTATTTAAAACGACTGCCCGGAGAGTCGGGCTGACGCTGGAAAGACAGCTGACTGCCGGAAAGACGGATGACTGCCGGAAAGACGGATGACTGCTGGAAAGACAGCCGAGGGCGACGGCCTAGCAAGCCCAACCCGGTATACATAAAGCTAAAAGTCCGAAGAAGAAAAATACCCCTGGGACAGTCCGAGAGGGGGGGCGGAAGAACTGTCCACCGGTCGATTTTAACGGCGAAAACGGCGCGAATACGGACTTGAAATGCTCTACTACAAGAGACGAGCCTGGTACATTAAACATCTAAAAACACATAATGGGGTTGAAGCACGACAATCGTCGGTAAGATCTACAACATTCACTTCGGATAGAGTTGACCCTCATGTATCCCATGGTGAACCATTAACTGGAAACCACCAGGAGTCCATTAACATCAGGACACGTCTTAGCATTCCTAATCTAAAACAATCGACTTGGAAAGTTCATGACGACAACTTAGCGGTCCTGTTAGAGCATCCGGGCTCGAAGCAGGAATTGAACTCGCAGGTAGAAACTTTCCAAAATACCGTTTATGACTACTTTAGCGAGCAATATCCACCACGTAATCGTTATGCTCGCAAAAATAAAGACAATTCGTTCAAATTAAAAATGCGGAAGAAAAAACGGGAATTAATAAAAAATCTACGTATAGCCAAAGCTCTAGGCGACAATCACCTTAGTCATCAACTAGCTAGGGCGTTAAGGTCAATCCTTAAATTAATCCAAGGAATATCGGCGCAAACTGCAGAATATCGCGATAATTTTGACCGGGCAAAACAAGAAGTAGATTTCGATAAAAAACCCTTTTGAGTATTCGAAAACCATTTTTAAGAAAGAACGCGGACAGCTTCTCTTGACCAACGATCAAATTTACGACCATTTTAAGAGCACATACGAAGTGCCTAAAAGTTTAAGACGGTATAGGGATCCAAACGATCAAAAACCTGAATTTCCTCGAATCGAATTCCACGGCATTCCACCAACGCTAGAGGAACTAAGTAGTCAGATCAAGAGGAAGTCGTCTAAATCTGCACCGGGACCCGATGGTATCCCATATATAGTCTTTAAAAAATGTGCATCGGTTCGTAAACACCTCCTAAATATATACGGTAAAATCTGGTCAAGGAAGCAAATCCCGGAGTGCTTCGGGAAAGCAATTTTTGTCCTCATTCCCAAAAAAGATCGAGTTACTGATCCGAAAGATACTAGACCGATAGCTTTAACAAATACTATATCGAAAATCTTTTTCTCGGTTCTACAAACGAGAATGACGCGATTCATGCTCAGCAACAACTATTTTAGGCCAAATCACCAGAAAGGGTTTTTACCCGGGATTTCTGGATGCTTAGAACACAACACCTTGCTGTCGGAGAGTTTAAAAGATGCTAGAAAAAGCGAGCGGCAAATCACTGTTTGTTGGATAGACTTGGAGAACGCGTTCGGGTCGATACAACACGAATTGATGCTATTCGCGCTTAGATGGTACAACTTTCCACCCCTAGTTAGAGATATGATCGCGTCGTATTACTCAAAATTAAGGTTTTCTATAATAACTAAAGAAGGCCCTTCAAAAAGTTTGAGTTATAATGTAGGACTGTTTCAAGGTTGTTGTCTATCTCCAATTGCGTTTAATATCGTAATTAACATCTTAGTAGACAAATTAATCTGTAACGAGAAAAAATGGGGTTATCGGTTTAAGTTTAATAATAAATACACGGAATCCATTTTAGCCTTCGCTGACGATCTCGCAATACTGACACGTAACCCCAAACACTGTCAAGTACTATTGGATGAAGTGGATAAATTCTGTGAGTGGACGGATGGATTGAGGACAAAACCCAGTAAATGTCACTGTCTGTGTCTTGGTAGGCGGAATACAAGATACACCTCATACGATCCGGGACTATCGTTAGGCGGTCAATGCATTTCTACGGTTACGGAAAATGCACCATTTAAATTTCTCGGTCGTAAGATAGATAATATAGGCCGTACTCCATCTTTAGAAGGAATAGTAGATAGCTTTTTGAACGATCTTAACAAGGTAGATAGCCAACTGATAAGTAACGTCAAAAAAGCGTGGATCTACGAGAATTACTTAACTTCACGTTTGAATTGGCCTTTCCTCGTCTATGATTTTAATAAAACCCTTTTGTCAAAGTTAGATGCAGGCGTCATAAAGATGTTGAAGCAGTGGCTCGGGCTCGCTCTAACGGCTGATTCATCGGCGTTATTTAGGGGAAGCAATAGTTTTGGGATGAGTCTAAAAAGGCCATCGGAGCTCTATAAACACCTAAGAGTTTCCAAGAGATATATCCTGGGGAAATCCCATGATGACATAGTGACATCGCTCCCAAAAGATGAAGATGACCCCGAGCTAGAGTCACGACTTCAATTCCATAAGCAATTTATGATAGGAGCGCAAAGTAACAGAGCGGGGTTAGGATCAAATAGGAAAGTCCAAGATGCGGATATATTGAAGTCTTTTATTCGGCAAGACGAGAATGATAAATATAAGATCCATGCAATGAATTTAGAAATGCAGAACGAGTGGTTAGACATAGGAGATTTTTGCATCCCATTAGCATTAAAATGGCGCACTTTAATTTATGATTGGTCGCCAGCATTGCTAAAATTCTATCTCAATGCGTTCCAGATGACTCTCCCAGATCAGAGTAATTTAGTAAGATGGGGTAAAAGTACCGAAAAAACTTGCTATATCTGTGGAAAGGCAGTTGGAACTGCTAAGCATCTGCTGGTGGGATGTAAGGTACTCCTTGACAGCGGTCAATACTCGCGTCGTCACGATAGGGTTCTAGAAGTCATACGTGAAGCGGTTAGTCTTTCGGTAGCCAGAGCGCAAAAGGGAATAACCACAAACGAACGATCAGTAGGTTTTGTGAGAGAAGGCACTAGGGCTACAAAATCAAACGTCAAGCCTTACTCCATCCTTAAAGCGGCGTCGGATTGGACTATAATGATGGACACGTATGAAAAACAATATAAAATCCCCGAGGATATTTGTGCGTCGGCCTCCAGACCGGATATATTTTTGTTTTCGCGAATTTTAAAGCGCGTAGTGATAATAGAGCTTACGGTCCCCTGGGAAACCAACATCCCCAAAGACCATACCATCAAGGTCAACAAATATTACGAGCTCACAAACGAACTCACTCGAAACAGGTTCGTAGTAGATTTGTACGCGGTAGAGGTGGGAGCGAGAGGTATAACAGCGAAATCTCTCTATAACCTACTAAAGGACTTGGGCTTGTCCAGAACTCACATTAATGCATTCTTGGAACGTACGTCGAAGGCAGCCCTAGTAGGTTCTTTTCAAATTTGGTTAGGTAGGGAGAGGAGCTTGGACAGTGGAGGTGAGCGTATAACGCGCGTTAGTTAAGGGGCCCCTTAAACCTACACTTGGGTCGCAAGTCCCAGGCACTGTTGAAGCTCCTCCCCCTGCAACGCGATGGACCCGGCACCCGCACGGTGAATCCATGGAATGCTGAGAAGTTTCGTCTTATTTAAAACGACTGCCCGGAGAGTCGGGCTGACGCTGGAAAGACAGCTGACTGCCGGAAAGACGGATGACTGCCGGAAAGACGGATGACTGCTGGAAAGACAGCCGAGGGCGACGGCCTAGCAAGCCCAACCCGGTATACATAAAGCTAAAAGTCCGAAGAAGAAAAATACCCCTGGGACAGTCCGAGAGGGGGGGCGGAAGAACTGTCCACCGGTCGATTTTAACGGCGAAAACGGCGCGAATACGGACTTGAAATGCTCTACTACAAGAGACGAGCCTGGTACATTAAACATCTAAAAACACATAATGGGGTTGAAGCACGACAATCGTCGGTAAGATCTACAACATTCACTTCGGATAGAGTTGACCCTCATGTATCCCATGGTGAACCATTAACTGGAAACCACCAGGAGTCCATTAACATCAGGACACGTCTTAGCATTCCTAATCTAAAACAATCGACTTGGAAAGTTCATGACGACAACTTAGCGGTCCTGTTAGAGCATCCGGGCTCGAAGCAGGAATTGAACTCGCAGGTAGAAACTTTCCAAAATACCGTTTATGACTACTTTAGCGAGCAATATCCACCACGTAATCGTTATGCTCGCAAAAATAAAGACAATTCGTTCAAATTAAAAATGCGGAAGAAAAAACGGGAATTAATAAAAAATCTACGTATAGCCAAAGCTCTAGGCGACAATCACCTTAGTCATCAACTAGCTAGGGCGTTAAGGTCAATCCTTAAATTAATCCAAGGAATATCGGCGCAAACTGCAGAATATCGCGATAATTTTGACCGGGCAAAACAAGAAGTAGATTTCGATAAAAACCCTTTTGAGTATTCGAAAACCATTTTTAAGAAAGAACGCGGACAGCTTCTCTTGACCAACGATCAAATTTACGACCATTTTAAGAGCACATACGAAGTGCCTAAAAGTTTAAGACGGTATAGGGATCCAAACGATCAAAAACCTGAATTTCCTCGAATCGAATTCCACGGCATTCCACCAACGCTAGAGGAACTAAGTAGTCAGATCAAGAGGAAGTCGTCTAAATCTGCACCGGGACCCGATGGTATCCCATATATAGTCTTTAAAAAATGTGCATCGGTTCGTAAACACCTCCTAAATATATACGGTAAAATCTGGTCAAGGAAGCAAATCCCGGAGTGCTTCGGGAAAGCAATTTTTGTCCTCATTCCCAAAAAAGATCGAGTTACTGATCCGAAAGATACTAGACCGATAGCTTTAACAAATACTATATCGAAAATCTTTTTCTCGGTTCTACAAACGAGAATGACGCGATTCATGCTCAGCAACAACTATTTTAGGCCAAATCACCAGAAAGGGTTTTTACCCGGGATTTCTGGATGCTTAGAACACAACACCTTGCTGTCGGAGAGTTTAAAAGATGCTAGAAAAAGCGAGCGGCAAATCACTGTTTGTTGGATAGACTTGGAGAACGCGTTCGGGTCGATACAACACGAATTGATGCTATTCGCGCTTAGATGGTACAACTTTCCACCCCTAGTTAGAGATATGATCGCGTCGTATTACTCAAAATTAAGGTTTTCTATAATAACTAAAGAAGGCCCTTCAAAAAGTTTGAGTTATAATGTAGGACTGTTTCAAGGTTGTTGTCTATCTCCAATTGCGTTTAATATCGTAATTAACATCTTAGTAGACAAATTAATCTGTAACGAGAAAAAATGGGGTTATCGGTTTAAGTTTAATAATAAATACACGGAATCCATTTTAGCCTTCGCTGACGATCTCGCAATACTGACACGTAACCCCAAACACTGTCAAGTACTATTGGATGAAGTGGATAAATTCTGTGAGTGGACGGATGGATTGAGGACAAAACCCAGTAAATGTCACTGTCTGTGTCTTGGTAGGCGGAATACAAGATACACCTCATACGATCCGGGACTATCGTTAGGCGGTCAATGCATTTCTACGGTTACGGAAAATGCACCATTTAAATTTCTCGGTCGTAAGATAGATAATATAGGCCGTACTCCATCTTTAGAAGGAATAGTAGATAGCTTTTTGAACGATCTTAACAAGGTAGATAGCCAACTGATAAGTAACGTCAAAAAAGCGTGGATCTACGAGAATTACTTAACTTCACGTTTGAATTGGCCTTTCCTCGTCTATGATTTTAATAAAACCCTTTTGTCAAAGTTAGATGCAGGCGTCATAAAGATGTTGAAGCAGTGGCTCGGGCTCGCTCTAACGGCTGATTCATCGGCGTTATTTAGGGGAAGCAATAGTTTTGGGATGAGTCTAAAAAGGCCATCGGAGCTCTATAAACACCTAAGAGTTTCCAAGAGATATATCCTGGGGAAATCCCATGATGACATAGTGACATCGCTCCCAAAAGATGAAGATGACCCCGAGCTAGAGTCACGACTTCAATTCCATAAGCAATTTATGATAGGAGCGCAAAGTAACAGAGCGGGGTTAGGATCAAATAGGAAAGTCCAAGATGCGGATATATTGAAGTCTTTTATTCGGCAAGACGAGAATGATAAATATAAGATCCATGCAATGAATTTAGAAATGCAGAACGAGTGGTTAGACATAGGAGATTTTTGCATCCCATTAGCATTAAAATGGCGCACTTTAATTTATGATTGGTCGCCAGCATTGCTAAAATTCTATCTCAATGCGTTCCAGATGACTCTCCCAGATCAGAGTAATTTAGTAAGATGGGGTAAAAGTACCGAAAAAACTTGCTATATCTGTGGAAAGGCAGTTGGAACTGCTAAGCATCTGCTGGTGGGATGTAAGGTACTCCTTGACAGCGGTCAATACTCGCGTCGTCACGATAGGGTTCTAGAAGTCATACGTGAAGCGGTTAGTCTTTCGGTAGCCAGAGCGCAAAAGGGAATAACCACAAACGAACGATCAGTAGGTTTTGTGAGAGAAGGCACTAGGGCTACAAAATCAAACGTCAAGCCTTACTCCATCCTTAAAGCGGCGTCGGATTGGACTATAATGATGGACACGTATGAAAAACAATATAAAATCCCCGAGGATATTTGTGCGTCGGCCTCCAGACCGGATATATTTTTGTTTTCGCGAATTTTAAAGCGCGTAGTGATAATAGAGCTTACGGTCCCCTGGGAAACCAACATCCCCAAAGACCATACCATCAAGGTCAACAAATATTACGAGCTCACAAACGAACTCACTCGAAACAGGTTCGTAGTAGATTTGTACGCGGTAGAGGTGGGAGCGAGAGGTATAACAGCGAAATCTCTCTATAACCTACTAAAGGACTTGGGCTTGTCCAGAACTCACATTAATGCATTCTTGGAACGTACGTCGAAGGCAGCCCTAGTAGGTTCTTTTCAAATTTGGTTAGGTAGGGAGAGGAGCTTGGACAGTGGAGGTGAGCGTATAACGCGCGTTAGTTAAGGGGCCCCTTAAACCTACACTTGGGTCGCAAGTCCCAGGCACTGTTGAAGCTCCTCCCCCTGCAACGCGATGGACCCGGCACCCGCACGGTGAATCCATGGAATGCTGAGAAGTTTCGTCGTCTAGTTACTTTTATCCAGTACAATTAAAAAATATATTATTAAATCTTACCAAATCAGCAAATGTGTTGAGGTTTGGGCTACAACAGCGACACTGTTTTCTATCCATTGCACGAAACTAACTCCGCTCCCGATAATTTCCTAAAAAAATGAAATACCAGACAATAAAACATCATATTTATTTGACTCAATTTATCCAGCTATGTAGTTTACGCTATATATATGAATGTGCTACCTTTTCACCGGTATCAATACGGAGAAGTGCAAGTCGTCGTCTAGTATGACGGAACAGAAGCAGATGTCCGCTCTCAGTCAGCTCCAACCAATCCACCCGAGCTTCGTGCCACCATGGCCCTAACTGAACTCCTAGAACATTCACATCATTGATATTAATAAATATAATGCAACGACATCAACCTTTTTTTTCATAACAAAGGAACTCTAACATCTATCCTGTGTATGTTCCGTACCTGTAACAAGATCAATAACAGCAATCGTCTGTCTGTCAGCAGATAGGCGAAGTGTTTTCGTTCTTCCTCCGTCTTCCTGCCCTCATTGATACGGACACTGAGCACGTGAGGATTCACACGCTCAGACGAACCTCCATAAGATACGAATCATTTTAGTATAAATTAAATTACTTGACATTGTGTAGATCTTGATCTATACTCACGGTTTGTAGTACTCTATCGAGGCCGTACTCCACCACACTAAGTTCGCCAGCACGCTGCAACAGACAGGCTCCACCCACAGCTGCATATATACGCTCCCCTCCACCGGACCATGGTATCTGGAGTATTCATGACTATAAACTTTTAACTAACCTTAACTTTTTGTTAAAATATCAGCTGGCATTTTAGCAGTTTATAAATAATCAATTTTAACAAACTTATCTGCTACTGCCTGTCTCACAGAATGGTATCTAATATCTACAGGGTGACTGGTGAATTACTATCGATATTTGAGGACATGATATTTGACGATCATATATGACGAAATAAAAATTAATATAACATAAATATTAATAAACTTCTAAGTAAAGTTAACCAAAAGTTATGTAATTAATTACGCATCGTATGAACACCCTACAGATTACTCTACACTACACACTCACACATACGCGCGCGGCGGCGTGTTGTTGTATCAGCACGCCGCCGCACTCGTCCACACTAGGAACACTTGGAACGTGTACACACTTTATTTATTTATACGGAAATTTGGTCAAAAATTAAGTACCAATTTTTTTTACATAATTCGAATGAGAATCATGTACCGAGTATGCTCCTTAAATATTGATAGTAATTCACCAGTCACCCTGTATATGTATAGATTCAAAACAAGTTTTTATACACTTTGATAATCATTATACAAAATCATTGTTTCTGAATTAACTCCAATTTCAAAAATAAATAGCCTCCTTACTGGCTTCTCACATGGAAATATACTTTGCTTCTGTTGAAAACAAAGCTATATTTCTGTTTTCTACATTCAAAAGAAATTACTAAACCAGACAACTTAAAACAAAATCTAGAAAAAGATTTTTTATCATTTGAACCTGAACCCCAACTTGCATCAACATATCCTTGTCTATAACAATTATCCTTTCGTAAAACAAGGCCAAAGATTTTAGTAACTTTTGAGTACTTTAAAATTCGTTTTAAATGTTTCCAATGAGTTTCATCATATGAGTTCTAAAACTGACTCAAATAACATACACTGTAAGCTAAGTCGGGTCTGGTCAAGACAGATAAATACATAAAATTACCTACCACTTGTCTATATGGAATTTTCTAATCACAAAAACTGTTCTTAGATTTTTCTAGCCTTACATTAACCTCCATAGGAGTTTCCAGTTTTACAATGTTACATATTAAATCATTTCAGAAAGCTATCTACATATTGTTCTTGATCAACAGTTATAACATTTTCATACATATTTACTCTTAAGCCTAAACAATGCTTTATTTGATCTAGATATTTTATTTAAAATTTACTGCTTAAATCTTGTATTAACTGATTAGTTGTCATTTTACAATTAGAGAATACAAAAAAGTCATCAACAAACAAATCTATTATCACTTTAACATTTCTTTCAAACTTTATAAATAAACAAGGTTCATACTTAGATTTTAAATGACCTAAAGATTTTAACTGATCATTGCCTCTCTCATACCATGCATGTGAGGACTGCTCAAGTCCATAGATGGCATGTTTATTATTATCATCCTCATACAATACAGGTTTTTCAATATACACAGAATCATTCAAAAATATCATAGGTGGTAGAGCCTAGCTGTGGTCAAGTGAATGCAGCTCGAACATGAGCTGTCTCGACCGGGGAAGTACCACCCTCTCACAGAAGATCAGTGTGAACTAGTCTTTAATGGCTGCGTTTCTTCCGATGAGTAGGAGTGCCGTTTGTCCTTTTCCTTCTCCCATCCTTTCCTCCCCTTCCCATTTTTCCTCCCCCTCTTCCCTAATCAAGGGTGGTGACACATCCACAACATGTCTTATGTATAGTGTAAGCCGTCTGCTTTGTTGCCCCCTTTAACATAAAAAAAAAACATTCAGGAAAGCTGATGTTGTTGGTGTATATTTAAAACTAATTTTACAGTTAAAGAAAATAACAATCTTAGAGTAGAATAATGTAGCACAGGGGAAAGTCTCATGATAGTGTATGCCAGCTTTCTGTGAAAAACATATTGCCATTAATCTTGAATGATAATGCACCTTACCAACACTATCATACTTTGTTTTTAAACACCCATTTGTACTGAGCTACCATAGTATCACAAGAGTTATCCACAAGTTCTCATTCATCATTTATCTTAAACAATTCTTATTCTTCCTCCATACTTGCTCTCCAATTTACTTTCAGTTCCATTTAAAGCTCCCTCATGTGTAATATTCGTTTTAATCTGATTATCTGATTTGAAGAAGCTTCTGGAATATATGTGACATAAATTATATCACATTCAGTATGTGTGCTATCTGCATTACCTTTTCTTCTTTTTCACTCTGTTCCTACGCTTAAACCTTACATTCAATAGGAATATTAACTGTATTTTAGGTTGGTTACATTATAATGATGTCTCCACTAGTTTTAACTGAGTTTTCTTTACAGGATTATAAACCCTATAGCCTTTCAAAATAAGTTCTTTATGTTTCATATCCAATTTCTAACGATTTTCTTTACACCTGACAACTTGCATTATGCATTTTGTGTATTATTAAATAAATAATGTTACCAAATTCGGTAAGTAAAGTAGAAAACTCGAAAAATTCGAAAATTTGCTAACCGTTGGAAACTATCAAGCCAAAGAGTGAGACTATATTAGAAAACATGAAGTTAACCACCCCTATATGGTTACGAATTAAATATAGCAAATAAAACTTACCAAATGCGTGTACTATTAATAAAACAAGTTCTGTACCTGTTAGACTCATGCCTTAATTTGAATTGCTTGTTTGTTTTAGGTAGCCTTAAATTTCTAATGCATTGATACGTGGTAGGGTGGCCTGAAAAAGTATTTGTCCTTCTTCTCGATCGTAATACAAACTTATATTCTTACATCGAGTTCTGTTCCAAAAACAAACGGTCCTTGTCTTGTCGACGCAACTTGTTGCGAGACTAATGTTAATTATCAGTCATCTGCTTACTCAATCAACCAGTCACCTATAACACACGCAAGTAATAGTTAAAATAGATTTTAAAAAATAATGAGTGTTTTATTTTATTTATAACTCTTTATGTAATCAAAAACGTATTACATAAATGATAAATGTAACTGTGAACGTGAATAGTATCCCATTTCTGATTTTAGTATTCTAAAAAAATACTCACAAAAATATAGTTTTCTTATAAAGCCAGTACTTTTAAATAAAAAATAAAACCTTAACTTTCTAGTTAACTTAACCAACTAATAATATTCCTAACTCAATACACCTTAAATAAGTTAAATTCAATTTACAAAAATAAAAGTCGTGTTCACAAAGTACTTTCCCGCGTAAAATTAACAAACAAAGCGACATCAGTGATCAGTGTTACCAGCATATTTTTTTTCGAAACGCCCCGCTGGAGCTCTCGTGTAACCCCGAGATAGCCCCATCATGGCGTACAGGTAGTTAGGCGGGAAAGTTGAAATAAATTCATGAGCTTATTATTGGTTTTATGTTAATTAAATTCGTTCTATTATTTTACAATAATAAATAATATTTTAAATACAAATAAAATTCAATTATAATACAAATGGTCAAGATTTTTTTATTTTTATTGATTGCACTTTGTTTTTAAAATAATTTACCTGTTTCGATTAACTTTTTCTGTTTCTTACTAGTTAAACGGTTGTTGCCTTGTGTTGACGAGTTTTTCTGCTGCAATTAACTTTTAAATCATGCTTATGAGCACGTAAATTCACCCGGCACCATTTACAATATGACTCTCCTTGACCTGCTAATATCAAATCAAATCGGCTACCTGATTTCAGCGGATAAAATAATATCGCCACTCGGTAAGGGAGATGGCCCCATTGGCGCTATGTAGCCTCATCTGGCAACACTGAGCGTCAGCGTTTCAATATCACTTTGGATGCGTTGGGAATTTTAAAGTTCGGTTCAATTTATAAGTGTGTTTCCTAAGTATATTATACAGGGTGACTGGTGAATTACTATCGATACTTGAGGACGTGATATTTGACGATCATATATGGCAAAATAAAAATTAATATAACATAAATATTAATAAACTTCTAAGTAAAGTTAACCAAAAGTTATGTAATAAATTACGCATCGTGTGAACACCCTTCAGATTAGGTATACACACACACACACAAACGCGTGCGGCGGCGTGGTGTTGTATCAACACGCCGCCGCACGCGTCCACACTAGGAACACTTGGAACGTGTCCACACTTTATTTATTTATACGGAAATTTGGTCAAAAATTAAGTATGTACCTATTTTTTTTACATAATTCGAATGAGAATCATGTACCGAGTATTCTCCTTAAATATTGATAGTAATTCACCAGTCACCCTGTATAAGTTTTCCAACAACAATATAAAAAAAACATTAGCGTTTAGACAAAACAGCCGATGTCGTCTACAGTGGCGGCTGGTGGGTTATCGAACTGGTGGTGCACTTTACTAAAATATTAAAATTAGAAAAATGCAACAAAAAACCAATTCACATAAAATATGCTTATTTTTTATACATTAATTAATGCAACGACATTTTTCCGAAGCGATTGAACATTTCAATCACCTATTTATTAAAATCGGTTATTGTTTGTATATTTTATTTTTTATTTTTATATCAATACTAAGCACAGAAAGTGCATTTAGCAAGTGCGAAGTATTTCGTAGAAAAGTTTTGATTCTTTTCAATTCCAATTCGTCACACATCGGGTGCTCTCGGTAATCTTCGGTCGCTCGAGAACCGACTCATTACTCGGTACATTTCTATGAACTATCTTTTGTTTCACGCGCCAGGCGTATTAATGCGTATCTCATACAAGATGCATTAGCAGTCCTCGTGCACTCGCCGAAGCGCACGATATGAGTTTAGTAAAGCGCTCAAACTTTTTGACTATAATTAGAAATTTAATTTTGTATGTTTAGAAAATAAATATTAAAATGGTAATTTGAAAATAAAGATGAAGTAATATTTTGTAATTTTTAAATCTTTTGAATTGGTGGTTCAGCGCACGAGTGCACTTAAGGTACAGCCGCCACTGGTCGTCTATACAACACTAATTTGATCTGTCAAATAAATATCAATAATTTTGTCGATTGTCTTTCAATGACCTTACTTTAAATTATTTAATTTTTCGGTTCTATTTGTAGATATGATAAATTTTTGGATTAGAAAATTTTTTGTTGAAGAAAAACTAGAAAATCTTAATTTGTTCATGTTACACTGCTATCATTTTCAGTTGGTGTTTTTCTGTGGCTCCTGAGTTGGGTCACCACGTCGTTAGTCGAAATCCATGGCCTCGGTCTCAGGTCAACTCATTTATGAATTTCGTCAATTGAAGTTAGCTTTTGATACACAGAACCAGTCTTCTGGACCCAGGAACATATTATTATGTTAGAATTTGTCCTGTAAAGTTACAGTATATTTTAATATTCGCTAAGACAATAGTACATTCAATATTTCATTTTAGTCACGTGCTTTCAGATCTCAGATGATACACTCAAAACCACAGGGATTGGGTTTCTAGCCTCTTTTGGAGAACCCGTCCCAAACCTTACGCTTTTATCTTCAATTCCTACTAAATATATAGTTTTTTTAGATCGAATTCCTTGAAGTAGTTAAACTTCAGTTATGTTCGACTAAAGTAACTCAATTTAACAAAATTATAAGTTTCATGACCGTGAAGATGACAGATTTATCGAATAATAAATCTGGCACACATTAAATTTCTTCTATATATTTTTCCAAGTTATTTATTACTATAGATTCTTGTTCTCGATCTATTTCATTCAAATCTTACAACTCCAGTGGTCCTTTAACGCTAATTGTAAACTTAAAATAATACTCATCTATATTTTAAATAAGCTTTTACCTATTGAACTACAATAGGTACTACTACAATACTACTAAAATAGGTACATATTGAACTATATCTATATTACTTAAAGTTCGTCGTTAATTTGAGTAAATTGATTAATGCGGAAATTCTTGGATATTTAGGATAAAAGTAAAAGAATCGTTTAAACTTTTTATTTATATCTAGAGATCATTTTCTCCGAATATATCGACAACACGTCGTTTTGCCTTTTTCTTAAATATTCGTATAATGTACCTATAATGTCATGTTAAACTACATATAACTAGTATATAAACAGCATAAGATGAAACAACTAGCTATGACTAATCACCTAAATTAGAAATTTCAATAAAAATAACAGCAAAAAACTGAACGTTATTTAAAATAAAGCAGGATAAAACCTAAAACACAACAAAATACATAGTAATACTTCAAAACTTCACTGACATAAGTTAACTCCGTCTCTTTGTGCCTTTTATATTATAATATTGTCGCACAAAAACAAAATAGTAAATACAGATAGATTGGGAGCAGATTCTTTTTACTTTTTCCTATATGAACTGTGTCACCTTCGTCAATAAAGTGTTAATAAATATCGGGACATTGTTTAAAACTTGTTACATTTTTACCCGGCTTTTAAGAGCTTACCTTTTTTTTAACTATTACTTTATTGGTTTTAATTTTATATACTCGATAAAGTAAGGAACGTGTGCCGTGTTCGAATAAGTTAAATAAAAGTATGCATCATGGGGATGAAACTGTCATATAATTAACGTGTAATAAAAAAAGTATAGAAAATGCTGCCATCTAACGAACAACTTTAAATAAAAAAAACTTTGACACCATTTTCCTTTGTAACTTCATAGATGGCGTAAGTAGCTCTCAAATTGACTTGACATTAGGACAAACAGATAATACACTATATTAGAAAATTTTAAATCATTTCAGTTGCTCATTTGCAATTGTTTACTGTTGTTCTTGTGCTTTACGTTCTTTTTCAAACATTTGACCTGTCTTAATACATCATTGACTCCTATTTCCAAGCTTTTGACGATCGATCCTGGCTTTCCTCAATTGGACTTTGTTTTCTGCGACTACGATCAACCCCGGCTCTTCTCATTTGGATTTTGATTGCAAACTACGAATTTGGATTATCGATAAGTTGAAAAAATGCCATGGAAATCGGCTTTTAAGTGTTATTTTCGGTGTGCGACTAAAGGTACGATACTTATTTAGTAAAATCTATAGAAATATTATTTGTCATATATAAACAATAACTACTCTTGTTACATCAATTTCAACCGTAACAGTTTAATGACTTCTAATAAAAATATTTCAGGTCCTTTCCTTCAAACCTGAAATTGAAACCTGAATACCCAAATTTGGAGAAATTTATTCAATGGAAAAATATTCATAGGTGGTAGAGCCTAGCTGTAGTCAGTTACTACAGCTCGAACATGGGCTGGCTCGACCGGGGAAGTACCACCCTCTCACAGAAGATCGGCGTGAAGTAGCCTTTAATGGCTGCGTTTCGTTCGATGAGTGAGGGAGCCGGCTGCCCTTTCCCTATTCCCACCCTTTCCTACCATTTCCTTATTCCCGCCCCTCCCTATCCCTAAAAAACAAGGTTGGCAACGCATCCGTAACAAAGATGTTGCGGATGTCTATGGGCGACGGTAACCACCTTCCATCAAGTGGGCCGACGGCTCGTTTGCCACCTTTCACATTAAAAAAAAAAAAAAAATTTTAAATGAAGACATGAAACAAAAGGAAGATTCTTACATTTATAACAATATAAGAATATGTGATCGTCATTTTGAACAGTTTCACCATTCTTCAAGTAAACAACTCACTCAAAATGCTGTACCAACTCTATACTTAAGTAAGTATCTAAAGTAAGCAACTTCCCAAGTTGTTATAGGCACACAATACATACTACTAATATATAAAAAAACTATAAATAATCAATTATATTTTATAGCTATAGATAATATTTTACAATATTATTATTTTACTTTAGAAATTGGTGCTCATAATTAAAAATAAAAAACAAAAAAAATTGATTTAATT